ACAAACAGGACCTTGGTATCTTAGGGGTTTCTTTTCAAAATTTCTGACGAGCACCCCCGTCCTTTTTATATGAGAGCAACCCCTCCCTCGCCCCCTCCCACCCCCGAGTTGTATACATGTACATTAGTTACCCAACTTAGGCTGCAGTTACAGCCAGCAATCCGGCCATATCAGTTTAGTGAATTGATATCGCAGGATATCAGAGAGTAGACAAGGCTTCTGATTGGTTCATTACGAGTCTGGGTACGGTAATAGACAGAAACCTGCATGTCTCGGGTAATGTCACTGACATATCTTGAACCTTCATTTGTTCTGGTTAGCTACTCCTCAGCGCCATGTGAGATACTCAAATTATCATTTCGCGTGGTATATTGAAGTATCATTTTTGTCTTATTAGCTGTATCTGAATTTTTCTTGTTTTCAAGGTTGATTTGTACGCTGGTTTTCTCCATGATGCTGTCGTACTGTACGCGCTCGCCGTCCATGATCTTATAACACATGGAGGAAACTTTACAGATGGAAGAGAACTTATGAAGCACATGACCAACAGGAGCTTTGAAGGTCGCTAATTCCTTATAAGATATATAAAACACACAATTGTAAACGTTTTTTGCAGTAATTTATTAGGCTAGATGTTAGTCCTTAGAATGAAAATTATTAAAGATTTCCTGATAAAAGGGAACGCAAAATAATTTGTTGTGATAATTAAAAGTACTGAAAAAGGTAATGGCGGTTTCTTAGTTCTCTCTGTCTCCTTTGCTTTCTTTCTCTTATTCTGTCTGTGTGTCTGTCTGTAAATCATTCAATCAGTTAGCTTTTCTTTTATCAATTTCTAATTTTACCTTTTGGTAGCCGAATATGATACGATTTTTAATTCACTTGTTCGAGTAGAGTTGATGTTGTTACTATTATAAGCGTTTTCAGCTGATTGTCGTAAAACCAGACCAAACCGATTACTTACCAGTTAGACTACTCAGCCAATCTCAAACCGTTGTAGAACCAAAGTAATTCCCTGATTACTTTCGACACGCAATTGAAACCACTCTAATCAGTTGTAGTTGTTTTTGTTGTTGCTAACCGGTTGTAATTTTAGTTGCTGTTCTAGCTACACTTGTTTGTTATTGTTGTTGCCGTTGTTATTATTCCGTTGCTAACCATTTTCATTTACCACTGATGTACCACTGATGATGACCGTACGGTCGAAAATGTTTTTGTTTATAAAATTTTTAGTAACTTTTAGCCTTTTATAAACAATTTTCAGTTTTAGTTGTAATTGTTTTAGCTGTTTTTGTTGTTGGTGGTGGTGTAGTTGATGTAGCTGTAAATGTAGTTTTAGTTCTAGTTTTACTTGTACTAAATACTAGTTACCAATGTCGTCCTAGCCTCTTTTTTTTGAACATTCAGATAACACGAGCATATCACTACTTGAACGTGTATGAACCAGTTTTCTCAAAGCTCTTCTAGAACGTCATTTGTACAATTTCAGGAGTTTCTGGGCCGGTTTTCATCGATGAAAATGGTGACAGAGCACTAAGCCTCCAAATGAAGAACTTCCATAATGGCAAGATGCAGCGTGTAGCGAACTACTTCCGACATTCAGAGAAACTCGAGTTTACCAACAGCAGCATGTATTGGCCGGGAGGGACTGTAAACGCTCCAAAGGGAAGACCTGACTGTGGCTTCGATAATGAATTCTGCGTTTCTCCAGGTGTGAAGATAATTCTGTCATTTTGTTCAAAGGTCGTTAAATATTTCAATCTTTAATTTCCACTTTGTTTTGAGTGGGTTGAGTTTTCAAGACCTGAAATCCTAAGTGATGTATAGATTCTCTCCGTTTGGGATATGGTAAAAAAAAATCAATTTCTTATGCGGCATTATACATTTAAATTTTTTGAAATCAAGAATCCTAAACTGTGACCAGAAAACTGTTTTGGAAGAAACTGGTGATACAGTTGCCCTCAGTTAAACTACTACTGGCAACAATGAAGGGCACAGCGAGGTCAATATTTATCGATATTCCTGATAATAAATATAGTTGACTGCCAAAACCAACATATGTCTTCCCAGCGTTGGTGGACGGTTAGTTCAATTATACCACCCACCCAGAGGGCAAATATGAACACTGTTGTTGGCGTCGTGGGTGAATTCCAGGGGTATGAAATGAAAGCAAGAATTGTCAAGATTGTTAGAAACCCGATCTTGCAAGAGTGGAACTAGGTCAACTAGGCTAGTCATTTGTCCTTAACGTTGTTTCACCGATTAAAAACTGGCCGTCCTTCAAAATGTAATAGCTATCAAGCACCGCTTTGTATTTAACAATTAGGTTACGAGCTAGAGATTTCTATCGCGCGATAGTTGATGATGGCATAGCCCGAGTCAACTATCACGCATAGAAATTGAAAGCGATTCATCTAATTGTTTTAGTACAAATCTACTAGTCGTTCAAAACTTTATCTAAATCCTCTTCACGGACACGTCGAAAACCGAAAAAAAGCGGCCGCCATTTTGTTAACAAGCGTACACTACTAGGCTGCTCACTACCTACAACAGGATAGATAGTAAGTAGCTTAGCCAATCAGAGAACGACATTCGTGATAGAACGCTAGTAGATTTATAATAATTGGCGAAAGAAGTTAACCAAGAGAACACAGAACATCATATTTTTCCTTTTGGTCAATGAACATTCTTTAAACTAATCTACATTCATCTAGGAATATCTTCGTCCCATGTAAATGATCAATTTAATGCACATGTGGTGTAGATGTTTCTGTTAGACTAACTTAAAGGTGTATCTGTCTTATCTCATCAGTGGTTTGGAAACTTGCTGTCTACGTACTCTCGGCATTTATTGCTCTAACAATTTGTATGGCAGCCCTTCTTATATATTATAGGTAAGCATTGAATCGTATCAAACCACCATTTTCGTATTCTCGGTATTGGACTGGAACTAACTTGCAACTGAGGCTAATGCGGGTTGTTTTTGTAGAAAGGAAATGACATAAATATTCCCCGACACGAGCCTCCGTTGCAAGCTAGTTCCAGACCAAATTTCCGATAAAAACAAATATGGCCTATCGTTCATTTACACGTTCACTCGCTGCTCGCTTATTTAGTAAACCGATGAATTGATCATTTTATCAGGGAAAAACACGAGTCTTTCGCAGTTCTCAGCAAATAATGCAGTTTAAAGAAAAACGGATCTCAATTCCGGTTTGTATGGGGTTGGAAACCATAATCATTACGATATAAGTATTTACACCCGTAAATGGCAAAATGTTGTGGTTGCTGCAACCCTGAGGATACTTCTTTCTCGTTGCAATATTTCACTTGCAAACTGTAAAAATTTAAGCCCAATTTTCTTTTCTTTGCTTGTTTACGTAATTTGCTGCTTTACGGTTTGTAGGAGGAAGGCATTCGAAGTATCACTTCAGAGCCAACAATGGAAAGTTTCTTCAGCTGATGTGAAATTTACAAGAAAACCGCCGGATGGGAGAAGTATAGTAAGAGACAACTGTTAGCTATTTGATTTTTTTTATCAAAATTTCAGACCCTTTCATAGAACAGTAGCCACTCCTATAATTTATCTAAGTATTAGGCATGCAGTGTTAAATTGGCATACAAGGTCACTTTTCAATCCCCTGTTTTTTTTTTTTAATAATGATGAGGGGATAACAGAGAAATAGCAGTTGATAGAACAGTGATTTTTTTCAAGCCATGATAACTAACTTATTTTCATGTGTTGTGGCAGATCTCAATGTTTAGTGGAAGTTTTGGTGAGGTCAGTTTGTCTTCGAAGATATTTGATGACGATGAATTGCGAGGACAAGTATTTACTAACGTGGCAATTTACAAGGTTTGTATTGGTCTCCTAGCATAGTTTAAAACTATGTTTGAAGCGACTGAGACCCCAAAACAACATTCTCTTGATACGATTTAATCAAAATCGTAGAGGTAAATTATCCCCTTAGTAACTTTTCAAGTTACTGGATAACCCCTGCATGACCTACTTATGTCCAATGTTAGTATATACAAGTAGCACACAAGTGAATAATGCTTTTCACGCGTTCTGATTGGTTAACTCGGAGGTGATTACCAAAGTACACTTCTCCTCTGAGCAGCCGAAGAGAAACAAAATGCATGGCTTCCCGTTTCTCTTCGGTTAACGACGAGGAAAGTTTTTGGCCTTTAGTTATCCGGATTGTGTGACATATACATTTATTTACTATTTTTTTTCATCCAACTCTCTTTCCCTTCTGTTTTGTTTAACATCGACGTGAGTATACGCCTGGTCGGTTCCCAATCAGAATTTCGCGCTTTTTCCAGTCCGTG